TGAGAACTCGAGAGTTCCCCATCTATCAGGAACAGACTGGTAGAATTTAAAAAGCAGGAAAAAATGCAGCGATATCTAGAGTAGTTTTAATTAGAATTTTCAGAGACTGCAAGTGCTTTGGTCAGAGTCCTCCAGGAACCTTGCAGGAGGTCTTCTCACTGCTGCCAAAGAACTGACTCCTGGTGTTCTCCTTCATCCTGCTTTGCACAACAGTACATCATAAACAGTGCACAGATTCTAGAAGGGTGCTCAGTTAGTTGATCTAGTGCTTTGCTTTGTGCTTTTTGAGTTCCTGCTCCTGGCCAAGCAAGCTCCACTTGAAGGTGAGATACTGCTTGGAGAGCCCATGCAATGGGGATAAACTCGGCAACTATGTAGAGGAGCTGCCTCTCACAGCAAGGTGAGATTAAGGGCTTCACATGAGAGGCTGGTATGGTGCCTGTTGGGGACACTGTACAAGGAGGACTTTACAAGTCACAAAATGTAAGTCTTGCTGAAGCCACATCTCTTCCCCACTCCCAAAGCAACCCTGGCAAATCTTTACTAAAGTGCATGCCCAGATGAAAAATCTCACAATTATTACCAAGATGTCTAACTGCAGCACCTTCCCTTTCTATGGGAAATGGGAAAAATGCACTTAATGTTAGATTTTTAATATTTTCTGTTCTTTAACTATAAAAGAACCAGACTGCATACAGTGATATAAACATATACAGTACATATACAATTTAACATACAATAAAGACAAGTTCAGTAATGCACCACTGTAGGAAAAAAAAAAGCTCTTAAAAGAGCTTAAAAGGGTAAGCTGCTTGTATGGTGTTGATGCACAATAATCATCAACTTTGGTTTTATTTATTTTTATACACACAGACATCTCAACATCAGGACAGATACTCTTGCAAATCTGGCAGCTCTAGTTAAATGTCAGTGCAATTTCTCTATTGCTGATCTGTGGAAACTGTCCAGCTATTAAATGTGGAAAGGTCTGCTGGGTGCTACCCAGAGTGTACTCTTGAATTGTCGAAATACTGCAGAGTTATCCTTGCTTTTGTTTTTTAGGTGTCCACATTTGGCGTGTCCTGGGACATTCTTAAAAAATCATCTTTCTTTTACTTTTAAAAGTTTGTTAAACAAAGTTAAAACTCAAAAATATGAAAGATGGATGTTTTGAGAAAGCAGGGATAACAATTCCACATGCCTCAGGTTCAGATGGCACAGAAGAAAGCATTATTTGTACCAATTAGTGTTTTAGAACAGTATACTTTTGATCAGTCTAATCACTTGTGTGTGCACATTAAAGGTCAGAAAGGACTGTCAACATAAGTTAGATCCAAAAATTCAAATTTATAAACATAACCCTTAATGGGAAAAGTTTTAATGATTAAAAATAAAGTCAATAATAAGTTTCGAAATAGGAATACTTCCCAGGCACTGATGAGCAGGTAAAAAGCTAACAACAAAACTGCTGAAGTGCAGGAGCTCTGTGGATGGGCAGGACGGGTGGCAGAAAAGCAACTTTGGGTGCTTTCCCAACAAGAAAGGGAAGGGCAAGCCCTGCAGAGGTTGCAAACATTTGCAGCATGAACATTTGCAAACGCTTGCAATAACATTTGCAAAGACAGACCCAACTCACTGGAGAGCTGATACCCTTGCAAAGCACCTGATAAGAGGCCAAACTCGCCTGAAGATACTGGAAAAACCACCCTGTGAGGATGACCATAGCACAGGCCCAAAGACTCCTTCCCCAAGGAAGGACAGAGTCCAGCAAGGATCAAGGACACCTGAACGACCCCTCCGGCTGGACCAGGATGGGAGTGAGGATCCCTTCATTCCCATTAAACCGGGACACTGGGCTAAGGTCACTCCTTGCAAGCTTGAGAGGCCACCTGGATATTCAAGGTGAAGTAACACTATAACATTCCATTCTATTTTAATTTTTATTTCACTCTATTTTATTTTTGTTTTCCTTCTCTATGGAATTCTTATTTACTAATTGATCAGCTGATTCCTATAACAATTGTGCCAGTTAATGGTAGATATTGTTATTGAAAAGATCTTACGCTGGCGAATAAAAGCAACCAGCTAAAGCCCCTCCGGATTATTTTACTGTCCGTCCTTTAATGGCAGATAGCACAACAGGCACTTCTGAAACACCAAAGTATTAACATAAAGATCCCCAAGAAAATAAAAAATGACAGATTTCACTGCTTCAATGGAAACAGTGAAAAGAAAGTGGCGTTTATTAAAATTTTCCATTGATTGAAGATATTCTAAATAAACATATAAATATAGCTTTTAAAATACATTCTGTAAAAGCAGGATTAAAAAAAAATAATTGTGAAATATCCACTATTACTGCAGAGTGACCCAGGACTTTTTTCTTCCCCCTTTCCCTTCCCCGGCTCTTTTATTGTAGATATTTGACAGCATTTTCTTCTGGACAGCATCAGGGATTGCTTCCCAGTTGCATGGACTCTCCCATAGCATAAAAAAGGGGAAAGCTTTAAAAAAAAGATTTTAAAAAGTTAAAATAATTTTGAAACTACAAAAACTGGTAGGGGAACACAGTGTTAAAAATATATAATCATTTCAAATCAAAACAAAAATCAGCTGACTAGATTTTGACAGCATCCTTTTAATCTTTTTCCAACACAAATGTGATTTTTGCTTGCATGATGTCTTGTCCTAACAATGCATATATTTTTAATTCCCAGAAATTTAAATGTAGGACTTTATCTATATTTTAGTCACCTTTGTGAATGTTAAATCAAATCAAAGCTACCCTCTCAATGAGTTTTATTTTCTAGACAATCAAAAACCTCCAAAGTGCTCCAAGATCCACTATTATAGTTAAGTCACTTCCACAAATAAGGTTTTGATTTATAAGAATACATCATTTAAACTAGACTAAAGGACTCCAGTTATGAAACTGCCTTACAAAACATCAGAAAATTAAATGACCACATTTGGAAGATTTACAAGGTCTTGCACCAAGAGGTAAAATGCAGTATTAATACCAGTGCAGCATGTATTCCTTTAGTGAAATACAGTGCAATTATGTGCAAAAGTACATCGTAACATATATTCCTAAACAAAGTGGATCACACAGAGCTAAATCTTTAAGATATGCAGCCTGCGTGGCCTTTTAAAAACTTTGAGAAAGATATTACAAATAAGTTTCCTAAAAACGTTATTTTTGATTCTTCATTCAGCACCATATGAACCTTTTAAAAGGGCCACATCATCTTCTCAAAGCTTGTAGAGGCCGGATTTACACTGGAAGATTTCAGGAAAACATCAAAAAACTAGGTGGAAAGCACAGCAAACAGATTCACATGAACATGGTCACACCGAAGTGAGCAAATTACACCCTCTTCTACTAAATACAAAGGCTAAAGGACTCCATCAAAAACAGAATAGCACAATATGACAGATCAACAGTAAACATCAATTTTGGTGGTCACTTCCAATCTGCAACGCGACCGCGACGCCTCCCCTCCCGCCCCTCACCCCGTGTTCCACAGAAGTCAACACAGCTCCATTTTCTACGCACAAAACACAAGACAATAATCTCTAAGACCCACAATGCAGGTCGGAGTGAAGTCGCTGAAGGTCTCTGCAGCCTTTCCTGCAGCTCTTCACTCCGTGTCATACAGGCTTGCAGGCGAGTTGAGTTTTCCCTTCCCGGAGCGTCCTCAGGATTTCGGAGTTAGCTCGTTTGCACCTCAGCACAGTCCCCATGTCCCACCCTAAACACCATTCCAGCTCCCTGTGTACATTCCTACTCCACTTTCATTATGCCACTCGGTCTCCCAGCAGTCACAGATATCACGACTGCCTTTCAGGTGCTCTCACACACAGAAGTTCCTTCTTTATCAAATACCAAAAAACACTCTGAAGTTGGCTTGGCTCCACAAAAGCAGAGTAATATCAGTGAGCTGGGGACACGGGGGTTCAAAGGTGCCTGTATGATTTAGGAGCCCACCTTTTGTGTAGACATTCAAAGATTCTTGGCACCCAAAATTATAGTGGGATTTTCAAAAGAGCTCTCGGTTCCAAGTCGGGCACCTACATGAACTGTCTTTTTGAAGGTTTTTGTTTAGAGATTAAAACAGGGACTATAGAGTCCTGAATGTTTTTGAAAACTTTGCCTCAATACTTTTTTCCATTCTGGTGTCACTATGATACTGGTCAGCTATTGCAAGCTCCCAGTTTATAAATGATCTAGAAGAGGTTGGAATAGGGTGAAGGTTTTAAAACTCAGAGTGCAACCAAAAAGAGCATTTCTTAGAGGTGATATCTTGCCTGCTCAATTGAAGTTTCAGAAAATAAACTCAGGAAGTGATGGCACTGAAAAGTGCTTCCTGAGAACATGGCACTTATCAAGAACAAAGATCTAGAGAGACATTTCAAAACAAGTCTATTTACCTTCTGCTGTTTTTTATGAATCATTAATAAAGCGGCTTCTTTTTAAACAAGTTACCTTATTTTTGCTTTCCTCACCCTGCTTGATCTGGCAGTGACTTCTTAACCACTTCTGTGATACCAAAATCACTTCTGCTCAAGTAAACTGTGATATTGCAACAGGATTATTGCTCCACTGTGGAATGAAGCTGATACAGAATGAGAGCAGTACAAAATAAAAGCACAAGATATACAAAAACAGCTGGTTAAATTGCAGGACTTCCCTCCTCAGCAGGTTTCACTGTATGTCTCCCTACTGTGAAGTATTTCTTTAAAACCCCAAGAAATATTGTCTTGTTTATGTCTCCCTACTGTGAAGTATTTCTTCAAAACCTCAAGAAATATTGTCAAGTCAGAGGAACATATTATTTACCAGCTAGATCTGGCTCCGGTCTTCTGTGATCTAACACTTAACTCCAGCTAGAAAGACTCATATACAGTCTGCCTTTTCATTGAACACTTAAAGCTCTAACTCTATGCTGTTCTACTTCACCAAATCTTTCAATAGTTTCTTCATTGGGAAACATCAGGTTATCTATGAACAAACAGGCTTTCTGTTGGGGGTGCGTTTACTTCTGAAGCTCCCCAGCTTAATTTTTGCAGCTTAAATCGATTTGGTTCAGAAAATGCAACATGACCTCACCTCCTCTGAACGCCAACCTTTACCCCAGCAGCGGAAACAGGAGGGCCACGCTGGAGTTTGAACCAAACAGGACTTGGATAAATTTGCGAAACAATGTAAACAATGAAGAGGATTGCCGGAGACTACCTATAGTAATAGAAAAAGATTTGCATACAAAAAACTAGTACAGATCCTACTGTAAAATTTAAAAAAGGTAATTGGACAGATCGCTTATTCTCAACTGACCACAGCATTAGAAACTATAAAGTTATAACATCTTAAGTGTGTTTCATGTTTCTTAAGCCAGATCTAGTGTTATCTAAATGTCATTAAAGACACATATGAAGATCTGTAGTTCAATCTCGAGAGGCAGATACACTGAAAATTCGGAAAAGGCAGCTTGCTGCAAAATAGCTATGATTGAAGAGATCTGAAATATATTTATTCTTACTGTCTATACTTTCATTTGCAGCGTATTTTTGTTAGCCTGGTTGGTCTACCCTGGTTTCCAGGTCAAATCCTGTCTAAACAAACAGCTAAGGTTTACAGTTTCAATAATACCATCCTAACACAGAAGGATCACAGCTTAGTTTGGAGAAGTCCCAGCTAATTTGGACTTTTCTTTTAATCTGCATCTCCTTCCAGAGAGAAGACCGTGCCTGTTTGAAAGAGGTGAATAAGGGCCATGACAACACTATTGGAAGAAACCTGGTACCAAAATAACACAGAGATGTTCCACTTGCAAAGTGTGCTGTCTCTTCTTTAATCCTGGGATGCAGAGACACAATGGGAGACTGTTCAAGTGCAACCTCTGGGGACCCTAGACAGAAGATTCTCTGGAGAATTCTGGTGCACAGCACTGAAAGCTTCAAAGTATTAAAAATTCCAATTCTCCCCACTGTTCTTTAAAAAAATGGAATGATAAAAAACCAGTACAGTAACTGGACAAATACCCAGTTTTCCGAATCCTCTGTCAGGGAGACACCTGAAGTCCTCCCACTCTTGTCTCACTGCTACATAAGTGTTTCTCGGTCCAATAAGCTCCTGTGGATTTCCTGCTTATCGTCACCATCATCATCCTCGGCAGGATCATTTTCCTCTCCAGACTCCACATATATGGGCCAGTCATTATCCGTATCGCCCTTATCCTGGCCTTCCGAGGAGGCTTCCATGAGGCTGAGGTTAATGGGCATGGAGTCCTCGTGGGTGGTGGTCACACACATGCAGCTCTCGCACAAGCCGAAGCGGCGCAGCCCTTGGGACATGCTGCTCGTGAACGTTCTCCTGCAGCCTTTGCAGATAATGGGCTTGTTTGATCGATGCACCTACAGTGAAAAACAAAACAGCACAGTAAAAACTCAACCTGCCTTCTTGCCATCGCCTTCTCCAGGGGGTATTTTGTGTAAGAAGGCATCTGCACTTAAGCTACGCAGCAGATGCTTAAACTGACTATTGGCAAAGTTTATCTCACATCTTGATTCAAAATACGATGGATTTTGTTTTTAATCTAGGATAACATAATGTTTGTGAACAAAACAAAGACCCTCTTGATCTTTTCACCTCCTAATAGCCCCGTCTTCCCGACTTACACTTAGAGCGTGGCTCCGGAGGTGCTCCTGCCGAGTGAAACGCTTCCCACATGTCTCACAGGGGTAGGGCCTCTCACCTGTGTGAGAGCGAATGTGCCGTTTTAGTATTCTTTTTTGTTTGGGACAGAATGGACATTTGTGAAGCTTGATTGGCACAACTAACACATCACCTTGTGAGGAAAAAAACAGCGCGTTAGATTAGGCAGTGCAGCAACGCTCGCTCGGTCGGCTTCTCGCCCTCCTGACTGCAAAGCTCAATCAAGGTAACTGCACTTGCCCCTCTCCTTGTACTTGGCTTACCTGGGATTTCCGTAGGCTGTGCAGTTTCAGAAAACTACTGCAGCTGCAGATGATCAAGTCCCTTGGAAACCAGGTTGACTATACTTCTGTGGATCACCATTCTGAGCGACTTGGCTCACAACAGAAAGACAAATTAGCCTTATTTTAAAAAGCCATTCAATTAAGTGCCAAAAAATGTGCTTAGAGCCTCTCTGCTATTCCAGCCACAAAAAGTCTTTTTTTTTTTTTTTTATGCCATTAGCATTAAACAACCTTAGATATTAGAATCTTTAGCGTAAACAATGGGCAGAGGTAGTGCACAGCTTCCCACATGCTTTTACATTGTGCATTAATTTAGACGAGGTGAACCTATCTAAAAAGATGAAGATTTTTTTTTTTTAACTCTCATTCACTTTAGCCTCTCTCTACTGGAAACAGCAGGTGAAGGATTACAATATACTTGCTACTTTTGTTTCACTTTTCCTAGAATCACACTATATACACAAAATATCTGAATTTATGAAGTCAGATGCAATGATTGAGAGTTTAATTTGAAGATTATATTTTGCATACATGACTATGGCTAAGTTTTTCAGTAGCAGCCCACATGTGGAGCTTCCTTCAGAGCTTAGGGGTTGAGGTGGTACATTAAAATGTCAGCTTTCACAAGCAGTTTAAGTTTTTACTGATTCAGGAAAGCATTTTTATATTGAGCTGTGAGGCCCCGAATAGCTACGAGTTGCAGCTTTGGAGTATTTTTGCATTCCGCTTTGTCCACCTCAGTCTCAAGGTGTTTAGAATTGACTTGTAGCCTTCAGGAGCAATTCAGTAGCCCAGTTCTACAGCTCTACCAGGTTGCCAGTCTCTGCCTCTGCACAAGAACCAGCGCTCTCCAGAAGGGCCTGTTTTCCCTCCACCAGCTAGGAAAACCACCAGGGTACCTAGAGCAGATGCGGATACTTAGAAGTTAAACGGTATTTACCTCATCTGTCTTGCATTCAAAAAGCTTGAGTGTATGAGAGAGTCATTCTTTTGTTTATCAGGACCTGCCTTCATGGTTGTTTCTTGTGAAAACGCCGAAGATACCAGGAGCACTAAAAGCAGTGAAGAGATATTCCCGTTCTACTGGATGCTTGTGATGAGCATTTTTAGCAGAGAAACATTAACTGAAGGGGGTTGTTCCCTATTTAAGACACTTCTAGCTTTAACATTTCTAATATGTTGTCATAACACCTTATGTTCTATACCAAATTTTAGAAACATTTTAACGCTACACTAATCGAGGGGAAGATTTTAAAAGGAAAATAGTAATAAGTACAGTTAGTCTGTTAGATGCCCCTGCCTTGCTGCAACACTTAAAAGGTGTAGACAGCATCTGGGACAGTACTGGGTTATAGAAACTTTTGGTGAAGCTTTGAGACTGGATTATTAGCTTTATCGGATTTATTATTTTAAAACAAAGAGGGGAATATATTGTTTTTATTGCCTTTGAGATCACGTACGCATTCTTGAGCTGGGGATGGCACGAACTCACGCTTGTTGCCTACATCTCATACGGATTTCCATGGTGCTGCCTGCACCTCTGCTGAGCTCGTTGCATCCTGAGAGCCTCCAACACCGGCAGCGGAACCCAGGGCAGCCTCCTCCCTCGCGAGAGCGGTGGCACAAGGCAAGGGCTGCTCCGGCACTGCAGGAAGAGGTAAAACGCCCAAATCCGCAGTGTCCCCTTCAAGAGATGTATGGACACAAATCCCTGCGGGCCCTGACAATCACTGCGAAGAACCCAACAGACGCCGGGCTGGGGAAAACCAGCTACCAGCAGCCAAAAAAGGAGCCTGCCTCTGGAAGACCAAGTTAAGCCTTTACTCGGTACCACGCAGAACTTAAAGCTTTCAGTGTTTCTCACATTTAGGCACTAAAGACATTCTGGGTACCACTTAATATTGAATAAAATTGGTTTCTGCCTTTCTGAAGTTCAAAGTATCAGCAAGCAGAATGATTAGGTGACAGCCAGTGAAAAGCCACTATGGTGTGCCAGACTCTACAGAATATCATCCTCTCAGGGCATAGTTTTCTGTTTGCTCTTTAAACCACTGGAATGGTTTAAAGATGAAGATTTATGAGATGAAGACTGTCTTTTAGTGTCCACCTGCCATTCCACGAAGGTTCCAGGTGAGACTGTTTATTAAAGCAGGGTCACCACCATCACGCTCCAGGATCTGCTTCAAGAAGATTGCAAAAACTACCAGAAATACTTACCTCCCCCATGCTGCACTGAATAAACGAGTACAGCTTTCTTTGGGAATCCACAGCAATAATTTATTTTGCTAGGCATAAAATTCAGCAATATTTTCCTGCACAAGAACAACCGTTCAGTTAACACGGGGAGTCGCACAAATAGCAGCTTCCCCGGCAAGGACCGGGCTGCGCTGCAGCCCGCGGAGCCCTCTCACCTGCATCCTCACCGTACCAGTCGCTGTGAATGTCCATCACGGAGCTCACGGGCACGCCGGCGTCGTCGGGCCTCCCCTCCAGGCCCCGCACGAAGTGCTGAACCACCTCGTCCTTCCTGTGCGCCGCGCCGCCGCGCAGCAGGGCCTCCAGGAACTGCTTCATGTGGTAGTTGTTGCAGGCCAGGTCCCCGGGCGGCGCGCCGGGCAGCGCCTCGTCCAGCTGCTCCAGGGACAGCGGCGGCGGATACGGCTGCGGCCGCCCGCCCGCGTCCGCCTCGGCGCCGTCCGAGTCCAGCTCCACCTTGGGCTCCTTGCGCAGCGAGGAGTTCACGGCCTCGGGGCACTCGCTGCTCCCCGCGGCCCTCACCACCAGCTCCAAGGGGCGGCA